CCTAGCTGCCTCTCCTTTCTTCTCTGCAGTGTCTTGGGAGGTGACTCAGCAGTGTGCCTGCTGCTCCCCTGGCCCCCAGGGGACGTTGTCTAGAAACACAGAACCCCAGGACAAGAAGGTGGTATTTAGTTACCCATGCTTTAAGCCTTGGGGATTTCTGGAGATGGTATTACATTCACTCATTCCGAACAGTCAAGAGAAAAATAATTTATATTCACCTTTCAAATGTAATTTAGAGACTTAGCTTTAGGAAGCATGTACTAGTTTTCACATTGAAAACCAGAACTTCTATAATTTATTTTTAATCCTTGAATCTATCAGACTCTTAAGAAATTTTCATTTTCTTCCTGGGATAGATCAGAATGAAAAAAAAATCATGTTAATTCAAGGATTTCTCATATTAACTTAAGGTACTTATTGAAATTCGATAATTTAAAAAAAAGCACACAGTTCACGGATATTCATAGGAACCCACTGTCTGAATCAACTGGAATATGTTGTATTATTCTGATTGCTTTGGATGATACTTAAATATCAGTATAATTTTCCTAGCACAGTAAATCCAATTATGGCAGCCTGATTGTGATATTTTAATATTATTTAAGAGAAACACTGGATGACAATTCTCATTAGTTAAGCAAGGTAGAGGCAGGGTAGAATTTCATCTTCCATTATTATTGCTATAATTTCATTACTCTCGGGTTTTATTGAAAGTTGGTCTGTGATTGATGAATATAGGTGAGACTACATGACTGACATATATTTGCATTTTCCTGGGACATCAGTGAGTTTCCACAAGATTGGAGCTTTGGCCAGGACTGGGTATATTCATCAGGATTAGTATTTATTGCAGAAAGCAAGCTGTCTATTTGAAGCTATATTAGTGTATGTTCATAGCATTCTTTCTGTGAGCAAAGATGTTAGGAAATTCCAGAGAGATTCTTCAGAGCAAATCACTTATCTTTACACTCAACCCACATGAAATATGCTTAGAGTTTCAGTGAAAGGTTAAATTTGCTTTTTTCTTTCTTCATTTTTAAGGTTTTGGTTGTCTGGTACCATGACATGGAATGCTACGACTGGATTCTAAAGCAATGAGTGTTGGGGGGGCATCCTGGTCCCATCAGTAGATTGTTCTAGTACTAGAACAATCTGTCATTAGAAGTTTTCTGACCTTTCAGCTTCCAAATGGGTGTCTGAAATTCTCTCATTATTCTTGTATAGCACTGGCTCTCAGCTGGGGATGATTTTCATCCCCCAAGGGACACTTGGCAGTGTCTGGAGACATTTCTGATTGTTATAACCTTGGCATCTGGTAGGTGGAGGCTGGCAATACTGTTAAACATCCTGCAGGCTTACCACAGCCGGCACAAGAAAGTTCTTGACTTGGCCCCACAATGCAAACTGTGCCAAAGCTGAGAAATCCTGATGAAGTTTGCAAGGTCAGGATGTCTCCAGGGAAGTTGGCTAGGCCAGGAAGGTTCATAAAAGTGCCATTTCCCTAGTAACTTCATTGTAGTTCAGGGTCAGAAACTTGCTCTTAGGTATCTCAGAGCAGACCAAATTCTAGGAGGTTGATTTGCATTGAAATTCACAGGAAACTGTAAATAAACCTCTTCCAACCTTATTAAATCCCTCTCAAAGACAGAGTTAGTAGACAGAGTGGATGCTTGTGTTGGTTGTGTAGCTTGCAGCTCCCTGTCAGCAAGCTGCATGGTGGGGATCCAAGTCACCAGGAAGTGTCTTCTGGAGCTTGGAGTTACAACACAAGAATGCTTTGGGGGTACTTAAAGGTACTTGAAACTGAAGTTTTGACACTTCAACTCCACTCTTGAGATGTCCCACCATGCCACCGTTGAGGCGAGACACACCGAATCTTCACGATGAGCCTCTTCTCCTTTACGTAGTGCTGGGATGGGTCTTGGCAACTATCTTGTGTCTTTTTTCACCTTCTTCCTCTGCTTCCACTCTTGACCAACTGCCTTTCGTTATCCATGTTGATTCTTTTAATTAATTTACTCTTTAGTCTTTTTTGGCTTAAGGGAGAGGAATTTCAACAAAATATGTGAAGTAGCATTGTATGACAGGGATAATTAATATGAAGATTGTTATTAGGACATTGTCCTGAACTGGAGTCTTTCTTAGTCTAGTGGGTGGCACTGATTTGACCACATTTCAGAATGCGGCATGATGGGAACATACAGTATTCTGTGCAGATACAGAGGACACAGGACTATCTTGCAATGTCACGTGGAGTATCTACTTTGATCTATCAGGCATGTATATTATAGTTTTTTTTGAGGATGACCTATACCTCTGGGAAAGGGGAAGGGGGTCGTTATCATACCTGTAGACTTCCTGCTGTCCATTTGTGTTTTCTGGCTTCTATTCTGAGACTGGATATCAAGTCTCTGGATAATGAGAGTTCAATATGCCACTTATTCTTCACTTTTCTTTCTCCATAAGAGACAGTCATTTCATGTGTTTTTTTGAATGCTGTTCTCAACCCATCAACAAATTCAGCCAGCTAGAAGGACATGCAAGGATATTGCACAGTTATTGTCAAGAGGGGAATTCTGCAGAGGGTGGCAATCCTTGAGTGAGCTTGATGTGTTTTAACAGTATCCTGCTGAATCACTCAGTAACATCAGAAACCTATTAAGTGCTAAATCACAACCAATATTCTCTTCTTTTGAACAGGTCGCCCCTGATCACGTTGGTAGGGAACTAGAGAAATGGAAATGTTGGTTGGGATTGTTAAACAGGGAGGGGGAATATTTTTGATGTACATATTTTTCTTCCCCAAAGCCTGTTTGTTGGTTGGGTCATGTTCTGGCCAGTTGTCATCCTTTCTTGACCTTCCACAATGACTAAAAGAGATCTTTATTTTCATACTAACTAAAATTGAACAACCTCATCCAATTTTAAGTCCTGGTCCTGGCACATAGATGTGGAACGTTTGACGAATAGTTTATTTAAGCCTCAATGTCCTACTTATACAGTGAGAACGATAGTACTTACTTATCATGTGCAGCGGTTGAAGAGGTAGGTGCAAAACTGATAGCATTGTGCATTGCATGTTGCAGGGACTAAGGAAATGCAAGTCATCCCTTTGTGTTGAAACATCTCCTGAGGATCTGAATGCCCTTACGGGGTATGAATTGATGCAACTTCTCAGTAAGAAGTATCCACTGGTGTTACATCCTTTTTTGAAATTAAGTTTTATTTTGATAAGAACCAGTGATAGACAATAGAATAAAGCATAAGAATTCGGAATTTTGGTGGCAGGGAGAGAGAAAGGGACAGTCTGAGATGTCACTCTCCATGAGACATTGCCTGAAGGCCCATAGGTACCAGTTACTGTAAAAAGGATGCATCCTCTGTCCTGGGAGCTAGCTCCCACCTTTCTGTGGAAAGCCAGTGCAGTGACCTTCTAGCTAGTGGTTGAGGATTCTTGAAGTGGTGAATAGCCTAAGTACCTTGTTATTTTCTTCCTTCAATAATTAACGTAGTGATATCAGTGCTGTTTGCTGTTAATTAATTATCTCCCAGCCAAATTAATCTTACCTTCCCTTGAAGGTGCTACAGTTGGAAAAGCTTCAGCTAGGGGAGATGATATGTGTGTACTGTATATTCTTTTTAAGAAGGCACAGCGGCATCATTGGGATGGAAATATCTAAGGCTGACCCAATCACATGCTACAGGGAGGCTCTGAAGGAGGAGAAAGGGGTGTGGGGGTGGGGAGGGAGTGGAGGAGGGAAGCAGGAGATTTCAACTCCTGAAATGATTTTATTTATTCCTGTTGAGATTTCTCTGCCTCTTCTGCCAAGAGTTCCATCTCAGAAGCTCAGTTTGTGGAGCTGCATTTTGCTTCTGGATCTTTCTTCATTATCATGTCTACCAGAGATAAAAATTTATACCTCTGCAATGCAGGAATGTGCTGAGGGTTTGCCCTGCCCCTGTTGGGATGGACTTAGAAACTGTTTCTCATTGGCTCTCCCTCCATTGCCCTCTCCATAATATCAGGACACCCTTACTTGCTTACATGTTTTATGGTTACTGAACTCTTGGGCTAAGGGCAAGTACCACATATTGTTTGTGATCCCAGTGTCTAGGGGCAGATCTCAAACCAGAATGAGTGTTTGTTTAATGAATGATATAGCCAGAGGCATTCTTTTGCATCTTTAGCTCAGAATTAATATTTGTTCCTTCTTCTGTTTCTTTCCCCACCTTTTGAACCTGGTGTTGATTGGAAAACATGGAAATCAACGGGTGGATGCTTAGATGCTAGTACAAATCTATGGGAATTCATCAACATGAGACATTTACCTGGTTGGGAATCAGAATGTTTTTGTTTTTTAAAATTTATTCAGAGAAACTGAAATTTGTCCTTTTGTTTGTTTTGGCACAACTTTAGTCCCTGTGCTAGCACACACACACACACACACATGCCCACGAATTATTGAGAGGTCTCTGCATTAGTACCTGCAGTCATGTATGATCTGTGAAATATAACAATGGACCAATAAAGAAAAAAATTAAATTTTGTCAGCCTTTGAAATCTATTGATTTCAAATTACAGCAGCAGAATTAATTCTATTATAGCACTAACCCCCAGAAGTTGGTTTTAGAAATGGATTAAAATGTGTTCATTTAGATGCTTACACATATATCCTCAATGAATTGGCTGGACGAATAACACTCCTGTAAGAAACTGTGTGGAGGTAAATAAACTAGTGCTTAGTATATTTAGGACGTTTCATTGGCCTGTGTCAGTGTGGGATGCCCCAAGTGTTCCACTACAGTCAAGTTCTGAGAGTCTTAAACCTATTCATATGTTGGACTGGAGTGATGGTTCCACAGTGGGAAAGGACCACTGCCTTCCTGAGAGTTCCATGGGGCCATAAAGCTTGGGTGCTCAGAGCACTGAGTCCATGATAAGATGTCTGGGCTATGCTGCTTCCTTGGATTTCCAACTTGACTGATGGTTTCTTCTGCAGGTAAGAGTGATTTTCCAGCCATTGCTCTGGCTTGCATAACCAGAGAACAGGATTATTCTCTTCTTCTGGCCATTACCTATGTACGTGCCACATTCCAGCGAGGGAAGAAGGGTGGAGCTTCTTGGATGACCATGGATGTTCCACCGTGCAGGATGAGGGCAGAGTGTGTAATATCGCCATCACAAGGGTAAGAGTTACCTTTCTATGTCTCTTTTCTCTAAAACCTATTGTAGAGCAGAGGAAGAGGAGAATGAACCTCACAATGTAGTGACAAAAATGAAGGTTAGATACCGAGAGGCTGTTCTCAATGTAAAATCCATTGAGCAATTGATATGGGCAGTGAAAGGAGAAAGAGTTAGGTCTGGAAGGGTAACATTAGAGTGAAAACACAGGCCAACTTTAAAAGATTGTGTGATGGACATTCCCTCCCCCTCTCTTTTTTGACATCTATAGTTCAAACTTGACAAAATAACAGTACTGCTGTTGTGACAATATGTCTGGCTTAAAATTAATGCCATGGATCTGGAGTCTGGTTCAGGTCACACACTGGGTCGCATATTGAAGTACGTATCCAGAAGCAAATTTTGTTGGACCCACATGATGTTTACAACATGGTGGATCAGTTATAATGAAACTTAAGATATCCTGCATAAAAATCAGGATTTCCATATTCTCCTGGAACACTGAATAACACATCTATACTAGGTCTCTGCTCCCAAAAAGGATTATGGTGCTGTGTAGCCTCTACTTCTTAGACAAGCACGGATAGTTCGCCAAATTCCCCAACCAGCACTTTATTTGCTTAACATTTTTATTTGTTCATTGGAGGCATTGAATTTTGCCATGCTGCTCTAGATCTTTCTGCTAGTCCTTTGACAATGGCAGAGATGACTTTTGTTAATTCCTCCAGGTAAAGAGTGAATATCCTTTACCAGACTCTGAGCAGTAATTAGTATAAGGGTCAGGGTGATAGGACAACAGAGGATTGTTTCTGTGGAGCATTTGGAGTGGGCAACCACCTGACTTGTGTGGAGTAAGAAGTGTAGAAGACATTATAATACCTCTTAAGAGATGCTGATATAAAGATATATGCAAAGGGCAGTGGGAGAAGGTGAGTAGGGCAGGGGAGATAGAGAAGGGAGAATGATTAACTTGGCTTCAGTGCATTCAAATTCTCAAAAACTCCCTCCCCTGAGTACCAGAGTTGTACTGTTACAGACATTTGTATGTGCATTTCACCACGTGACATGGCTTAGTTGAAGAAATGTGGGTATCTAGCAGGCTTAGAGGCTTCTCTTGAGGCAAAGTCCATATTTTCTCAAGATGTTTTACTTTTTCGTAATCTACATGTTTAATGCAATTCCCATCAAAATTCCAATGACATTCATTAAAGAGATTGAAAAATCTACTGTTAAATTTATATGGAAACACAAGAGGCCACGAATAGCCAAGGCAATACTCAGTCAAAAGAACAATGCAGGAGGTATCACAATACCTGACTTCAAACTATATTACAAAGCAATAATAATAAAAACAGCATGGTACTGGCACAAAAACAGACATGAAGACCAGTGGAACAGAATAGAGGATCCAGATATGAAGCCACACAACTATAAGCAACTTATCTTTGACAAAGGAGCTAAAAATATACGATGGAGAAATAGCAGCCTCTTCAACAAAAACTGCTGGGAAAACTGGTTAGCAGTCTGCAAAAAACTGAAACTAGATCCATGTATATCACCCTATACCAAGATTAACTCAAAATGGATCAAGGATCTTAATATCAGACCCCAAACTCTTAAGTTGATACAAGAAAGAGTAGGAAATACTCTGGAGTTAGTAGGTATAGGTAAGAACTTTCTCAATGAAACCCCAGCAGCACAGCAACTAAGAGATAGCATAGATAAATGGGACTCATAAAACTAAAAAGCTTCTGTTCATCAAAAGAAATGGTCTCTAAACTGAAGAGAACACCCACAGAGTGGGAGAAAATATTTGCCACTATACATCAGACAAAGGACTGATAACCAGAATATACAGGGAACTTAAAAAACTAAATTCTCCCAAAACTAATGAACCAATAAAGAAATGGGCAGTGAACTAAACAGAACTTTCTCAAAAGAAGAAATTCAAATGGCCAAAACACATGAAAAAATGCTCACCATCTCTAGCAATAAAGGAAATGCAAATTAAAACCACACTAAGATTCCACCTCACCCCTGTTAGAATAGCCATCATCAGCAACACCACCAACAACAGGTGTTGGCGAGGATGCGGGGAAAAAGGAACCCTCTTACACTGTTGGTGGGAATGTAGACTAGTACAACCACTCTGGAAAAAAATTTGGAGGCTACTTAAAAAGCTGGACATCGATCTACCATTTGATCCAGCAATACCACTCTTGGGGATATACCAAAAGACTGTTACTCCAGAGGCACCTGCACATCCATGTTTATTGCGGCACTATTCACAATAGCCAAGTTATGGAAACAGCCAAGATGCCCCACCACTGACGAATGGATTAAGAAAATGTGGTATCTATACACAATGGAATTTTATGCAGCCATGAAGAAGAACGAAATGTTATCATTGCTGGTAAATGGATGGAATTGGAGAACATCATTCTGAGTGAGGTTAGCCTGGCTCAAAAGACCAAAAATCGTATGTTCTCCCTCATATGTGGACATTAGATCAAGGGCAAACACAACAAGGGATTGGACTATGAGCACATGATAAAAGCGAGAGCACACAGGGAGGGGTGAGGATAGGTAAGACACCTAAAAAACTAGCTAGCATTTGTTGCCCTTAATGCAGAGAAACTAAAGCAGATACCTTAAAGCAACTGAGGCCAATAGGAAAAGGGACCAGGAACTAGAGAAAAGGTTAGATAAAAAGAATTAACCTAGAAGGTAACACCCACGCAGGAAATCAATGTGAGTCAATGCCCTGTATAGCTATCCTTATCTCAACCAGCAAAACCCTTGTTCCTTCCTATTATTGCTTATACTCTCTACAACAAAATTAGAGATAAGGGCAAAATAGTTTCTGCTGGTATTGGGGGGGAGCGGGAGGGGGTGGAGGGGGTGGTAAGGGAGGGGGTGGGGGCAGGGGGGAGAAATAAACCAAGCCTTGTATGCACATATGAAGAATAAAAGAAAAAAAAAAAAAAGATGTTTTACTTTTTCTCAATAGGGCAGCTTTCTGGCTGTGTGGCTCAGTGATTTAACTCAGCTTTCTGCACAGCCCTCTGCTTGGAAATGAGTTATGTGAAGTATAGAGATCCCTGGATTTTCCATAGAGGAGCAATGGCACTAAATAGAGATCCAGTGGGAATGGGCACAACTCTAATATAACCATAGCAGTTGGAAAGAGCAAGAGAGGAGAGGAGAATGGGATAGGAAGGGAGAAGGAAAAAAATGATATAAAGTCTTATATGTATCTTATGATTTATGTTTCCAAAAGACTTTCACATGTGCTATTTTTTTTTCTCAATGTAGGTTTGGCCTTTCCTTTTACAGGTCTTCCTACCCAAAGTCATATAGCTGGGAAGAGGGAGCTCAAGCACAAGTTTTCTGAGCCCTGCCTTTCGCTCTGTTTGCTAGTTGCCTCTCCAGTTCAGTATGAATAAGGGGACATGGTGGATTCATTTTGTTTAGTTCAACATTTAAACATTGGGTTCAGGTTATAAATGCTTTGAAATAAGGTGACCTGGGAATCCAGAGACTATGCTATATGTGTGTGGCCCATGCTGGGAGAGCATACCAGATGCAGAACAGGCCTGGGAGGGAGTTTCCTTGCCTGTCTAACTGGGCAGTTTACAACAAGTCTTCCTCAGTGGGTAGGGCTGACCACTTGGAAAGTTCCTGGAGGCAATGGCTCTGTGTAGTCTAGGAGCCTTGGGATGGTCAGGCAGTGCTGTCCCATAGAAACAAATACTCAATTTGGAAGGCTCTTTGAGGTTTCCCATGTTCTACTTTCTGGCTGTGGGTACGGCTTTCTAAGATGTCTCACAAATAGTTATTTGTTTCTCAGAATTGAACTACTTAGCTGCTATAAAAACACTGATGAATTTCAGGCCCACTAGCATCTCAATTTCCAAATCCACAGGCAGGGTGCACAGTGTCATTGGCATTGAGGCTTGTCCCCTGCTCTTCTGGAGCCCATCACTGATTTCTGATTTTCTTTTCTTTACATGTTACCCATACCAGGATGCAGGGAGGTTGCTGTGAGAGAAGGTCATCCCAAGGGGAGGCTTCTGTGTGAGGGTGCTGAGGAGGAGACACTGGTGTGGATTCGACTGAGTTTAGATTTTAAATTCTGTTTACGCTTGCTTGATTTTATTTGGAATTTTCTGACATGGTGTTAAATTAATATGTTTTCTATTACTACAACAAAATACTTGAGGCCAAGTAATTGATGAAGAAAAATAGTTGTGTAGCTCACAGTTTGGGAGGTTGAGAGTTTAACAAATGTTCAGTCTGTGATCAGAAGACTTCCAAATTCTTGTCCTGTGGGGAAGAAGCCATGTCAGGACACATGAGTGTAAATGGAATTTATTAAAAGTTAGGGAAGGAAAATACAAAGGGAAGCATGGTGAGGCTCAGGTGGAAGCCAAAAGCTGAGAGAGTGTATTTCTGCTCGTCAGGTGTTTTTAAAACCTACAATAACCTATGGGAAGGTGAAAACAATGACATTCCCATTCAATAATTAATGATTGGGGAGGAGCATGGGCAGTTCCTGGCCAGGTGAGGGTGGTTCCTGAGCCAAAGCATGGTTAATCTAAGATGCAATATTTTTTATGAGTCCCTAATTTAGCCTGCCTTACAAACAGCATGGTGCGAGCTCTGGTAAGTACCCACCTGGAATCATCACATTATGGTGGATGGCATCATAGTGGAGAGAGCATATGGTGAGACAGGAAGCCAGAGAGAACGATTCAGGACTCAGGCTTTGTCTTTTATAACAACTCCCTCTCACCCAGGATTCCTCAAGAGCCACTTTAATCCCTTCTGAGGGCAGTGCCTGCAATGATATAAACAATTCTCATTAGATTCCACCTCTTAAAGGTCCCACCACTTCTTAACATTGCTACATTGGAGAGCAAGCTTCCAACACATAAACCTTTGGGGGTCACAGAACATCTAAAGCATAGCACATAGCATGATCAGAAATTGAATTCATCATGAC